CAATTCAGCTATCAGAGGAATTCTTTGTGTCAGTATAACTGCAGTCCATTAAAATATCTAAGTTTTTCAAACGGGATAAAGTGTTCTACAGATTCAAATATGGTTTCAGGCTGAGCTATTCTGTAGAGGCTACTGCAAGAAAGTCTAAAGGGTATTGAAACAAAAGCTGGTTTCATGTCACTGATCTTTAACTAAAGCCTCACCTTGAAGCACACTTGCTGGAAGGGCAGGCGGTTTCACATCATCACCTTAACTATCTTAGTAAGACACACCAATTTTTCTCCAAAGCCATCCATCTCCATAGAGGGAAACCAATTTCATTTTCTGACTCACCAAAATAGCTGAATTTCTATCACAGTTGTTGGAAACAGTCTTTTCAGATTAAGAATTGATACTGAAACCACAAGTCTCATCCAAAATTGAAATGTCTGTAACAGGACCTTGACAGGATTTGAGCAAGCAGTGGAAAAAGGATCCCCTTCCATAACCGTGCTATCACCACATGAAGAGATTTGTTCTCTATGCTTTGCATGTGTCTACATTTACATCTGCTGTCTTCTTTTCCTCACTATCTATCTCAAATTGTTTTCTGAAAAAACAGCACAGCATCAGCAGCAACCTAGACTAAAAGGGATGTAAGGGAAGAAGGATGAAGAAAAAAATCTTCAATATAATAGAATTTACTAGGAATCAGTTTCTATTGCTTGAAATTTTGTTCAGTAGAACAGATGACGTATATAGTCAGGAAAAGGAAATGGATTGTTTAATACATCGTTTCTACCTTTAATTTCTGAGATAGTATCAAATTCATATATTAGATTCTATTTAAATCACTGTAGTTCTAGTAGGCTGATTGTTCCTCATTCACATGTCCTTGTAAATGTGAAGCTAAGACCATATTTTTCATGTTTAATCTTCCTCTAACAATACCATCCTGTCAAGGCAATTTATTCCAATACAGTCAGTTCGTAAGATCAATATTTTCTTTTTTATAAGCATATAAGTACATGATGAAAGGTATTTCAGTTACTTGAAGTGCCTCTGCTATCACAAAAGACAGAATAACAGTTTTAACTGGTGTGTAGAGTGTTGGTAAATCATTACTAAATAAAATTGGAAGATGTTCACTTGTTGCAGGGCTCTCCAACTTGTCAGACTGCAAGCTATCCAAAGAAAAAAAGATCTGAATCTGAAAATTAGCTAGGATACTCATATCATGATGACTTTGTATTAAAAAAAATAGATTTACCATGGTATTATTTCTCCTGTTGCAAATTTTTTTCTGTCCAATAACCTTTCTAGCATACCTACACTTAAACTAGAAAGACAGACTCAACAATGCACTGAAATAATTTGGTTAAAATTCACTGTCAAAATAGCTCAAGAGCCAGAAGTTCCATCCCTTCTATTATCATTCTTCCCTTGGGAAGATTCTCTCCGCTACACAGAATCCTGCATTTGAAGTGGAGAACTGTCCTATCACCACAGAAAGTTTCTTGTACAGAGTTGTGCAAGCAATATTTATGATTTTATAAAGCAGGATTTTAGTTTATGAGCAAGTATCTGCACAAATGCTATTGTTTGCAAAACAGTGTTGGAAAAATGTCATGGGGATCCAGATGTAAATGAACGTCAGAAAAAATACTGATGTTTGTATCTGCACAGTTTTTAAGACAGAGAATAAGAAATTTTTATACAGCATGATTTATTAAAAATTTCTTCCCTATCTCTACTTCTCCCATTTTTTCAATAATATGCAGATCTTTCCATATGCCAGATGTATTCTTTTCATGTGCTTCCTTTTCTTATGCTATTCTGTGCTAGCAAAAGAAGATACTTTAGGAATTCTTTCTGAAGGATTTATCAAATAAAAAAATTTTATATTTTGCAGGTTTAAAGTGCTGCTTTGCCTTCAGCTTTACTTTAGACAATACCATTCCTAGAAGTCTTTTAATGGAAAAGCATACTCTGATCTGTCTTTCAATACTGAATGTTGTTGGCATACTGGAATCTAGGTGAACGATTAGATTTCAAATAACAGCTTTTATGAATATGATTGCAAATTTCATTCATATACAGCATTTCAAGATACAAAAATACATATTATGAACAACTGAATGCAAAATAGTGGGAGGGAAAGTGGAAGGCTTCACATACTAAGAGTGACATAACAGCTGAATGGTAGCATTTCTGAACCAGCATGAGAAGAGAAAAAAACCACTGGCTTTCCACTATAGTACATTACAGATGATACATTCAGATCACATTTCCTCTGCTATGCTTTGCATCTTTCTATAAGCATTTAGTGCTCTGAAGACAAAGTTTATTTTTTATTTAGGATGGTTTGTTTTCTTTTTTAAATCTGCCTAAACTGTGTGTCTGTACTGTCACTCATCAGTTAGCTAAACCAGGACAGTTCTCATGAAATTGGGAGCCACATTGGTGACTTTGATTCTGTCTACTGCTTCAATGAACTCATCACAGCTGACTGACACGAATCAGTAATGAAACAAACTGGAAAGACCCTAATCCACAATACCTTCCAGATGTTGTATTGTGTTTGGGCTCCTATATTATTTTGAAATTTAAAGCATACAAAGGAAACCTGCTAAATCAGTAATACATTTTAAAATGTACAAATAATTACTGGGATACAGCAAAGTCCAAACCTGTTAAATGATTTTCACATTGTCTAACATTAAGGACTTCTTATTTACTTGCCTTGCTAAAAGGCAAACCTACCTGCAAATCCTACTTACACACAGAGACAAGTGGTGCAGAAACCATAACTTGTTCTGAGTCACCCTCTACACAAGAATGTCTCTCTCTGAATTACAAAAGATATATAAAAGGAAAAGGCAAAGTAGGCATCTAACCTGAAACTGTAAATCATATGGTCTAAACATTCTCCCTTCCCCTCTAGTCACACATTCAATCCTACCACTGTATTACCTACAAGCATGTCCCAAGTATTTGAGTTCCACAGACAGCAAATTTTGCCATCTCTTTAAAAGGTGTAAAGGAATACACAGTCTTTATAATACACTTCAGTGTATTTTCTTAAAACTTCTTTCATCACACCTTCTCAAAATAATATAACTTGCTGATCTAAATTAAAGCTACATTAGGAACCCAAATAATTCAGATTTTTGAATTAGTGAATTATTTTACTAAGGATGATTTCTCTAAAGTGAAAACCCCCTTGGAAGCAGATGCAAAGCTAAAATATGGTAAATAAGTCACTCCTAAGCTGACTACATTAAAAAAGCCTAATTTTTTTTCCTAAGTGGATGATAAATGTCTCAGGAGGATTCCATGAGAAAACAGGTGAAGTGGGACTATAGACAAGAAATCAAAAAAAGTGATATTGGTGTAATTAAGAGATTTGGAAATCCTTTCAACCCTATGAATAAATAAAAGCAAAATGCTTAACTCTTCCTGCAAAATGACATAAATCTTGTAAAAAATATCCAGCAGAAACTGCTAAATGTGCAAACTCACTCATTATCCCTGTCAGTACTGTTAGTTAGATTGCTGTGTCACCATGAGTCAGTCAATTATGCAGTCACTTTCATAAAGGGTATTCATCCCAAATAATTATCTCTTGGCTTCATTTCCCAGAGTTTGTGGTCTTGCTATTTTCTCATTTCATATTCCTTTTCAATGGATGCTGTGATTCTATTTATTCTCTTAGGCAGCCTTCATCTCCAAGGATTTCAATATCAAAGTTTTAGGAAACTGATACATCACATTCAAGTGTGAAACTTCATCCCTTTAATTCACATAATGCAAAGAATCTGAGATTAAATTATAGCTACTGAAATCAGCAATTTTCTTTTAGACATAGGCGTGGTTTTTATTTCCATACTTCCTTTTTAAATCTTATTTCCTATTCTAATATGGAACTGTATGACATTTTCTCTTTCCAAAAGCCTTACTTAGTTTCTCATACACGACAGAAGTATGTGATAAAGAAAGTAATCATATGAGAATGTATGGTGGTATTTTCTGGCTGTTTTACTGCTTTCTTCTCTGGCATACTAATAACCACTGATACATATAATATGACCTTTATCGTGGTATACATTTATTAATCTTTTTTCGTAAAACAGTAATTCTTCAATAATTTTTGTATCTTTAAGTTTAAAATATTGTAAGACTATTTAAGACTCTCTGTTTTACTTTCCTTTGCATGTGAAACATTTAAAACAACCACTCTTCAGTTTTCAGGGACAATGAGTGCCTGTATTTCTGCAGAAATTAACTGTCAAACTGTGACGTTTCATACATTGTCTAAAAGCACTGCATTCACGGAATATGCCATTTTTAGGAAGTTTTCTCTGAATAAAAAATTCCAAATTTTGACCTTCATTTTACCTAATGAGAGAGCACATGCAATTTGTACAAGAAACTTCAATATGTCACATTCTGGATGTTCTTTAATTGATTTGTCCTCTGTTTCATTTTGTATTCCCTTTTACATGTGGCATACTTTTTCTAATGCATTCCTAGCAGTCCAATACAAATGTCAAGTGGCTAAACATATCTCCCAAATCTGTTGCTCCAGTGGATTTAAAATTCAGCCACATTGGCTCAAAAAAACGCAATGAAAACTTGTTGATTTCATTGTTGACAATGACTCATGGTAATCCAGTTCAGTGAATGAATGGTAAGGATCACCTGCTCAGGTTGCAAGCTGAGACAACCACATCAAATTCACTGTTTTATAAAACAGACTCATGTTACACAGTAATTCTAAGTTGGAGTTCTAGACCACTTAGAGTAGGAGATTATATTAATGAATTGAGAACAAAATGGACAAGTGCTTTTTCTGACAAAACCCACCTTTCCATACAACTAGCACATTCACTGCAAAAACAACTTTGTCATACTATTCTTCTGTTTACACAATGACATAAAATGAAAAAATTCTCCGTCAAAATGTGCAAAGTTTCAGTAATTTTATAACAGCTATTAAAAGGAAAAATTATTTTACTTACCAAGCCAACTTCTGTTTAAATATACTGACACAAACACTGGAGGGACCGTGAAGAAATCTACCACTGAGTTAACTTCTAGCCAAAACCATAGCTTGTCATTGGCTGCTATAAACTGGAGGGGGGAAAAAAAAAAAGGAGGAGAGATGAAAGAATCAGATTATGCTCACGCTGACTGCATGCATGTGAAATATTTTCTGTTCTAAAATTCTAAACTCAAAAGTTAGTGTAGTAGTTGATGTTTTAAGTCAGTCCAGACAAAACATGTCTCACTAGAAAAAAGTTTGTATTGTGTATTGCTTGATTGCTTAATACATTGGTATTAAAATGAAAAATCTAACTGAAGAGATAGATCATATATGTGATCAGTTGTAATATCTACGCTAAAAATATTTTTTCCACATTTATTAACAATGTATCAGTATTATTAGAGAAGTATAGGCAAATATAAAATATTTTGAAGTATATCACCTTTCCTCTAGCACACCAAATGTACTGGTAGTAGTTTCATCATGCATTTGCTGCTCACAAGTGTCCAAATACATAACAGTTTACAAAGAGTCCTATTATCATCTGTCCAGAGGAGATCACCAGGATGACTCCTACAAGGCATAGTTCAGGACTGCACCAGCACTGCAGTCCTTTGAACTGTGCCATAAACGTGGTCATTCCTGTCTCCTGACTATGAAATCAGCCTAAGAAAAGTGGTAAACTTAGATGCCAAGGACATCATAGATAAAACTTGCCTCTGTGCTTAAGGTCAAACTATTATTCCCACTTGAATATTAATTAAAACATAGAAATATGAAATTTAAATATACAAATAAATATAAAATTTTAGTGCATCATGAAGACATTTACAGGAGCAGTTTTACTCATTTAAGTGTTAAAACTTTGACTAACACATTTAAAAACAGTGTTTGTACTTTTTGAGCTAAAGAGAATAGTCATTGTGTTTCTTTCAAAGCAAATACAGACAATCTCTATTTAATTCACTTTATTTCCTTGCCTTAGAAATACTTCAAAACTTTGACAGAATAAGTTTATGGAGCATACCAACTTTGCTGGAATGCCAGATTAAATATTTGAAAAGGAGACTGTACTGATGTCAAAAATGTTGAAATCATATTTAAAAATAAGACCAAAAACATGAGCAGCATTTGCTTCAGAGAATACTCAAAATGGAAAATAAATTGATATTTTGCTAGTCTGTATTACTCAATATCAATGTTCCAGCATGAAAACAGAACAAAAATATCCAGTTTCAGCAGAAGATTTCTATTCCTTTTTGTTAAATTTAGAAGTAGTCAGAATATTTGAAAGTAAAAGCTTTTTAAGATGTCAGATCAATATTTTCATAACTTACAATATATGTTCTAATCATAATTTTTTCTTTCCATAGGGCACAAGCTTGAGGCTTTCAAACAAATTAAAGTCAATGAAAACGAAGTCTGTTGACTGTAAAGGTCACTTATACTTTTCTGTGTAAGTACTGCAACATTTATTCATTAGGTAATTAGCAACTAGTAAAAGCCTATTTCATTACAGAAGCAATCCTACCATGCTTGAAGAGATGCTATCTTTTAAAAGCACTAGCATAATTCTGTCCCTTTCAAAGAAGGATTACTGCCACACTTTCCTTTTCTCTGCCAGACCCTATTGCTTGATAATATGCTAACTCAGGCAGTTTGGACTTAGTCTTCATCAGAAGTTTAAAGGTTTCACTTCTGAGCTCTCACATAGTTGGACACTAGCCAACAAAGATTTTAAAATGGATATATGTGTGTTTGAACACAAATATCTTCTATAACTGAAGATATGGCAATATTTATGTGATTTTGAGTTGCAACATAATTTCGAGGAGAACAGATGGAAAAGGATGAGATTCTAAAATATTTCTTCAAAATCTTTAATTTGCCAGTGAATCCTCACAGGAGATATTTATCAGAGAAAAAAACCCTAAGCCACTAAAATACCTAAACATATGAGATGCTTATTGCATAAGTAGCAAATTCATTATTGATCCAATTCTTGTGTCCACACAACCAAGTGTTACCTTTTCCTCAGAAACTACTGTTTAGTTCATTGAGACTTCTTGGAGATCTGAAGGTACACCTGTGTTAGCATTTTAACTTAGATAAGGAATACCAATCTGAAGTGAATCCTTATCATTCCCACTTACCATAGCCTCAGTTTGCATCACAAAACAGTTTTGGATAACACAACAATTTATTTTGCTTGAAACTAAAACTGAAAAAATGAGTTCTGGCAGTTCATCTCACTCACTGTAACTGCTAAAGTGCATTCAGTCCACAGGACCAGGGTGCAGTCTACAGAGCTGTCTCTTTCTTTCAAAAAGCATACAGTGCAGACGTGAAAGTATTAGCATCAGCTCTCAGTATCTCCCCTCTTATTGTGCTTTACTTCTTGATAATGTAACTTAAGTTACTGCTTTGAGTAAGAGTGGACAATATGTAATTTTAATTCTTTTGGTAGGAAGATACAACCTTATTACCAGCACAAAATTTACAAAGGATTTGGATACTTCTAAAAAAGGATTCTTGGAGGTTCACAACTACCATGCATTGAATCCATTATGTTGAAAAGTTAACCTACATTGCAGGCCTTATGGATGTCTACTAAAGCCCCACTTTTAAGAATTAGGGGCTATTACACCTTATGCTTTTAAAATATAGCTTAGAATGCATACATAGTAGTGTAAATACTGAAGGAATTTATCTATAGCTAAAGGATAAACACTGCACCTAGACTAGGTGATGAAATAACCTAGGTTTGCAATATAATTCCTTACTGTATCTTCAGAAAAAGTTGGTTAAATTGGTTAGAAGTAAAATAGAAGGAACTCAACTATCATTGCGACAAAGGGGTTCCTATGATTCAGGAACAAAATGGACAAAGAAAGATGAGGAGGTAATATTTGTATTAAATTTAAAAACCAATGTAGCAGGTTTTCCGTTCACATGATGTTTTCCTTGTAGTTCCATTAGGTTTGAGGCCTTTTTTCGCTAATTTTCCAATTAAGAAGCAAAGATGGTTTTCAAAGTGTATTAAAAAAAACCCCAAACCCACAACCAAACGAAAAAAAGCCAAACTGACAGCTTGAATTGCAAGCATTACTAGCCCAAAGTTTATTAAATGCCTACCTGTTTCAGATGTACCAACTTTTAGATCCTGCAACAGCATTACTGGATTTGCAGAAAGTGATGAGTATGGCCTAAGGTTCTGTGTTTCAGCATATTGCCTAGTATTTATAGCTTCTGCAAAGCACTCATTAGCAGTCTGGGAAAGTGGATGTGTATAAAACTGAATACAGCAGGCGTTGTCTCAACCTTTGACTGTCAAAGACATATCTAACAGCAGAGGAACAGGTCAACTCTTCACTGGTTTTGCTGAAGTAGTTATCACACCACTGAGAACAATGAAACTAGATTCGATGTCACTGACCAGCACTGAACTGTTACAGTTTTCACTTTCTATCACATGAGAACAGCCTGGGACAGCTTCACTTACAAACTATTGGTCTCCTTGGTGATCTTAGATTCTTCTTATTACCTAAATGTTCCAAATAAAATGCTTTGATCCTGCATTTTAGAAATTAGCTTAATTCTGTCCAGCCATTGCAGAGTCAGGCTGCATTCAAAGACTCTCCCTGCCTCATGCTGCCAAAGACACACACACTACTTACACGCAAGCCGAAGTAGAGTAGGAAGAACACATTGAAAGCCATGTCGATCTGTAATGTGAAATCTTTGTAGAAATTCTGGCAGGATTCTATTGGGCTATTTGAAACAAAAAGAAATCAGAATAAATTGTCAGTATATGAGTTTCTATTCTGCTGAGAATTTTATGCATTTCATTAAAGACCTTGATTCAGAAATAATTTTTCTGTTTTCCAGTCGTTTACAAGATAGAAGCAAGCATTTCAAAGGAATTATTTCATTCATTCAGTTAGTCATTCATACAGTGTTTATATTCACCTATTCAGGTAATATCTGAGAGTTAACATGCAGATACCCTTAGGAAAGGACAAGCAGGAGTATACCTCAGGATTCCTTAACCCCACATTAACCCTTAAAGAACTGACTTCTTTCTAAAGGAGACACACCTATGATACTTTAGGAAAAACCCTAACAAGCACACAGCTACTGTGAAACATTACATGCTTTTAATTAATGTCATAATATAAAACCTTTAACAAAAAGTAGTTGCTTAGGAATACATTACCCATTAGCAACCTGGGGTACTTAGTCTTGTAGAATCCCTTGTTTATAAGAAGTTGGTTGGGTTTTTTTTTCTTTTTCTCACTTCTTTTTTTTTTTTTTTTGTATGGCTGTTTAATGTACTTTATGTACAGTACTATGAACTGAGTAGAAAAGCAGCATAGCCCATTGGTGAAATTAAATAACAAAATAAATTGAAGAATTTGAAGCAGTACTCTAAGGGTTAATTTCTGCATGCAGGTTATTTAAAATACCCTTCTGTGTGTCAAGCAGCCATTGCAAATTATAGCTTATTATATTATGCTTTATTTAACAGTGGGACAGATCCAAAGCTTACTCTATACCAACTGGTACTTTATAGATATACTTTTATCTAAGGAAGGCAATAACTTCCACAAGTATCATTAGTGATTTATTTGTGAAGTTTCTAAAATAGGTTGTTGAAGCCACAGTCCAATACTGTAGTCACAGACCAACGTGAAAATCATGTCCCAATATATGCTGATGTATATGCTATATATACATAATGTCCCATCATATATATACTGTATATACATAATGTCCCATCATATATACATACATATACACACATATATTGCAAATGATCATGTGTTCATCACAACTGGAATAAAACAGGACATTAGAACGCAGATCATTTGATCATTTGGAGCCCTAGAAAATATCCTTTTAGAAAAGCAGAAATTTGTTGGCTTTCCAGGTCAAATAAATCACTGAATGTGAATCTAATACCAGTTAGTATAGCAGTAGCTCTGCAAATATAATGCTAGACTGCTCAACAAGCAAGATTCTATGCATTATGAATGTCAGTTACCTAATTAAAGGCATAAAGGATATTGTCTGGACTACCAGGTCATTACACATGCAGCCAAATTTTCCATTCCTTGTATACATTACAGGTCAAACAAGTTAAGTACAGCATGCCCTCTCCTGTCTTTAGATGCATGAATGTATACAGTAAAATTCTCCTTGATGTACAGTAGCTTTATATTTTAAGAAGCTTCAGTGCTATAAGAAATTTTATTAAAATTGTTTTTCAAAGGCTATTTGCAAAAACATCGAACTTATGAGATATTTTTGTTACACTTCAAATAAAACTGATTTACACAAGCAGGCAAAAGGCAATAGAAGCCAAATGTCAACATATGGCACAGCAGACAGTACCTCATACTTTACAAATATAGCTTTAGCTACAAAAACAGTGGATGTAATCTGAGAACCCAAATGGATCATTTTCTTTATGGCATTATTGAGAGCAAAGGATTTTGTCAAAATAAGGTAGATTACACCCTGAGTCACTATGCACCCTACCAAAAGAAATCACAGGAAGTACTGTGGAAGCAGAATCAACAGCCCTGCACCAACACAGAGGTTTGGACTCCTAATTCCCGGTTAGGTTCCTGCAAAAGCTGCAAAAATTCACTGGAGCTACTGGAACTGCAGGGACTTATAACTAGGATAGAGAGCTCTTCTTTTCCACAGTTATTTGGTACTTTTCACAATTGTCAGCTAAGGTCAGCTAAGGTTGCAGCTAACAGCTGTACTCTTGTGTCACTGCCCTTTACAAAACCCTACAAGACCTGACAAATTAGCTAATGCATAATACATTTTCATCTTGTTTGCAAAACACTTAGCACAGTAGACCACAATTCTCATTTGGGACTCTTGTTTACCTAAAACCAGAACTGCTATTTCTGCTATTCATACCCTTAAATCTTCCCTCATTTCAGAGATCAAGACTGTCTCAATTTTTAAGTTATCCATTTCAAAGACAAACACAACATCCTTTCCTTTTTACTTTAAATGATGACTTTGTCAGAAAGGCATGCCACTGAAGAAATTATTCTTCAGTTTAGGTATTTTTTTGTTTTCATCAGTAGTTCACATTTGAGCTGAGATAAAAATATGGCCACTGATGTTTGTCATTGCACCATTCAGTCTGCTGCAGATAGGAAGCCAATTTGAAACTCATCTTTACACCAAGTTTCCCAAAACCAGAAGTCCTATAGTTGTTAGAGTTCCAGACAGTAGTCTACTGGGCTCACTAAGACTAATAATATATTCTATTTTTTATATTAAAATCCCATAGCATGTCCTATGGGATTAGACCCCTTTAGGGCAGCAGAGGTTTCAGCTTTAAGAAGGCAAAAGACTTTTAGAAATGTTTTTATTCTTCTTCCATGTAAGCATGGTTTCACACATTTATACTATAAAAAAACAGGAGAAACTACAACAAAATCAGTGAAATAGCACACTACCAATGACAGGAAAGATTTAATATAACTGGATAAAAATTATAGTAATGATGTAACTCTAAATGCAATGGGCTTCTCCCCCTGAAAAAGTGGCAGGATCAATAGTCCAACAACTATTGGACAGCAGGTGAATGAGGCAGCTAGGGATGGCAGCCCACCAGACCTGTTTTTCTGAACAGAGAAGGACTGGTGGGTGATGTGATGGCTGGAGGCCGTCTTGGGCAAAGCAATCACAAAAGATAGTTTCTGATTCTTGGAGAAGTCAGGAGGGGAGTCAGCAGAACTGCTACCTTGGACTCCTAGAAGGCAGATTTTGATCTGTTTAGGAAACTGATTGAAAGAGTTGCTCAGTAGGCAGTTCTGAAGGGCAAAGGAAAGCTAGAAACACTTTCAGAAGGAATTTTAAAGGTGCAGAAGCAGGCCATTCCCATGTGCTGAGAGACAAACCAGCAGGGAAGATCTGCCTGGTTGAACAGAGAACTTTGGCTTTAACTCAGGAATAAGAGTGTATCACCTTTGGAAGAAGGGACAGATAACTCAGGAGGGCTTCAAGGATGTTGTGAGGTTATGCAGAGAGAAAAATGGAAGGGCCAAAGCCCAGCTAGAACTTAATCTAGCTACTGGTGGAGAAGACAATAAAAATGTTTCTAGAAATATATTAACAACAAAAGGAGGGCTAAAGAGAATCTTCATCTCTTATTGGATGTGGAGGAACCATAGTGAAAAAGGATGAGGAGAAGGCTGAGGTACTGAATACCTGCTTTGCATCAGTCTTTAATAGCAAGACCAGTTGCTCTCTGGGCACCCAGCCTTTTGAGCTGGAAGACTGGGATGGGGAGCAGAATGAAGCCCCCATAATCCAAGGGGAAATGGTCAGCAAACTACTACACCATTTAGACACAATTCTATGGGGCCACAGAGAATCCAGCCAAAGGTACCGACAGAACTGTCAGAAGTGCTCACCAAGCCACTCTCCATCATTTACGAGCAATCTGGGTTAACTGGAGAGGTCCCAGATGACTGGAAGTTAGAAAATGTGACATCCATCTGGAAAGAAAAGTCAGAAGGAGGATTTGGGGAACTACAGGCCTGTCAGCCTGACTTCAGTATCAGGGAAGGTCATGGAGCAGATCATCTTGAGTGCCACCACACTGCACATGCAGGACACCAGGGGATCCAGTCCAGCCAGCTCGGGTTTATGAAAGGCAGGTCCTGTTTGACCAACCTGATCTCCTTCTACGACAAGGAGGATGAGGGAAAGGTTGTGGATGCTGTCTACCTGGACTTTATTAAAGCCTTTAACTTCATTTCCCACAGCATTCTTATGGAGAAACTGGCTGCTCGTGGCTTGGATTAGTGAGGGAAAACAAGGGCTGGAAGGTAGTGTCCAAAGTGTGTGTAAATCTGGCTGCTGTCCGGTCACTAGTGGTGCTCCCTCTGTACCAGTGTACCACTGATGAGGCCACACCTTGAGTGCTGTGTCCAGTTCTCGGCCCTTCACTTCAAGAAAGACACTGAGGTACTGGAATGTGTCCAGAGAGGGGCAACAAAGCTGTTGAAAGGTCTGGAGCACAAATCCTGTAAGGAGTGGGTGAGGGAGCTGTGTGTGTTCAGCCTGGAGGAAAGGAGGCTCAGGAGGGACCTTATCACTCTCTACAACTCCCTGAAGGGAGGTTGTTGCAAGGTGGGGATCAGCCTCTTCTATCAACTATAAGCGACAGGACAAGAGGAAATGGTTTCATGTTGTGCCAGGAGAGGTTTAGATTTGATATTAGGAAAAAAAATTTCACTGAAAGGTTGTCAAGCATTGGAACAGGCTGTCGAGGAAAGTGGCTGAGTCACCATCCCTGGAGGTCTTTAGAAGATGTGGGGATGTGGCACTCAGGGACATGGTTTAGTGGAGGACTTAAAGGTCATTTCTAACACAAATGATAATGATTCTATGATTTTCTAATATTTATGTGCACTTTGAAAGAGAATCTTTAATTTGCACAATTTTTACAACAAAACTAGTAGTTATAAAGCCCAGTTATTACAGGTATCATAGGCATAAACTATCTCAGTGAGCAAGAGTGACTACAAGAGAAGTAACAAAATGACTCCAGTTTACATTCATACAGATGGGGCAAAATTTTGACAAGGTGTTCCCAGAATCCTTAAATGTTTGCTGCAACTGACACTGAAGCCAACACTTCACATGACACTTTTGCCACAGAATGCACCACTTGTCACTTCAATGCAAAAGAATTTACTGCTGATTAAATAACTACTTTTGTCACAAGTTTA